CAGGTATCGTTTTTGTTACTGTATGTCAAAATTATTTTAATATTTTTTATTTTAAGTTTTAAACTTTTTCAGAGAAAGAATTAATATAGCATATGATTGCAATAAAATTTCTTTCTACTTTGCTTGTTTTATCCAATATCTTAGTGACACTTTTATTTTCTGTCTTTATTCTTTGTCTATATCACTTGATGTCAATTTATCAATTATTTTAAAATGTGTATGTGGTAATGGATGTGTGTATGTTTACGTATGTGTTAATCAGTTTATGTATTATATATGCACAAATTATTATATGAATGAAAATAACTTGCACAGCAATCTTTTGCATGCTATTTCATTGTACATGAAAAACAAAATTTACTATAATTATTTTTTTTTTAATTAAGAATAAGGGATAGTGCAATAATTTGTCTTATTTTAGAAAAATAAAAGCATAAATTGATTGATTTTTTAATAAGTAAGTTACAACCTTTCTAATTATTGAGTATGATATTTTTCTTTTAATATTGATTTATTATATTATAATAAAAAATATATAGCATGTATAACAGTATGGCATGAGTTGATACAAAGTGAAACAGGTATATTTTTTGAAAAGTCGCGAGATATTACAGTGCATCCTAGATTTATATTTTTTCTATGGAACATAAAGACACTGTACATTTTGTTTCTCCAATGACAAATGTGCAATAAAAATTAATAGACAAGATAGGGGAATGAGTTAATAGCAAATATATTATTATAAGATGTACATTTTTTAATTCTAAACACATATTCTATAAACATATGTAGTCATTGTGCGACAAAAATCCGGCGTGTTTCCTTCAACGTTGATGGCTTACTTTGGTTTTACAGGGTAATCAGAAAACAGATGATAGCAATACGAATGAATCCAGGGGTGTTCAGAAAACTGTGAATTCAACTGAACAATCAGAACAAACGGAGCAAAAGGAGGAGACGCAGCCTTCCAGCAAACAGGCACAGTCTTAAGCTTAAGAGGCTACTCCTCCTATTAAAGAGTTATATAATTCAAATGATACACAACCATCTGTTTTCAAACTTCAGAACGATTTGATCCTTATATTTTGATATCTAGCAAATTTTTTTACTCGTATCGCTAAGTTATATAAGATCTTGATATATGTAGATACACTCCACCTCTTTCTTCATAATTTTTGCAACATAACAATCATATATCTTTTGTATTATTTTACATCATAAGTATATGTTATTTAAAAACGTACTGATGAAATAATGTTGAGAAAGTAGCAGCTAGTTGAAATAGTTTTTAGAGCAATTAGGCCATTGTGAGAATTACTTCATTTCTTTTTTTATATATTATATATTGATGTATCTACTCATATGGACATAATGTTGGATATAGTTCATTACTTAAACACTTGTAATATGACAGTTAACTAGATGTAATAATTTTTTATTAGGCATGTAAAAACTGGCCGCTTGTGAATAAATTTTTCTCAAAGTTTTTTTCCATGTCTAGTATACATGGCCAATATACAGTGTCGCAAGCTATATTATGTATAAGAAATAGTTACAGAATTACGGTATCTAATCTGCGACATTAAAATAAATAAATTTATAGATTATATTGAATTTATAGATTATTTACATGAAACGCGTATTTTAATGTGAACAAAAAAGTCTGACATAGCTTGTGGCTCTGTTAGTTAGTAATATCACTTTTATAAATGATCATGATTATATATGTATCATATTTAAGGTATTTGTTTGTTTCACAAATGATTTCCAGAAAATATAATATACAATGACAAAAAAAATGAATTTGTAATTGAAATAAGTATTATAAGAATAAATCATATTTCTATAAGTTCTAATTCTCTGACGTTCCCCATCATTCTATCATTATAAATCACTCAAATGATACGTGTTGAAATAATCGTTCTGAAATATGAAAATAATCTTTTGTGAATTTAATAATTTACATTTAAAGAGATTAATGAAGCAGTGATTGATGCAAGCTTATGATACATGCATAAATTTCATCCTAATATATGAAATGTAAATAGAAATGCGTTAACACGTATACACATTATTAATATTTATGATATACAGAAAAATACAATTGCGATTATAAAGATTTTTTTGTATTTTATTATTATATATAATTTATAAAATATTTCAATGAGCTTTTGATGTCGCAAGTAAAGTACACAAGATGTGCATATTATTATTGTATGCTTCGACAAAATATGTGCAAATTTATAACTATTTAAATAGTCTAAAAAGGAGTAAATAGTGAAAGGAAGATCTGTGCCTTGCTGCCTCGCATATGTAAATATATTTATGTATATAGAATTTCTGAATACCCCGGCTGAATACTCCATAGCTTCAGATATTATAAACAATAATTATTTATTGAAGGTAATCATTAATAATAGATGTACAGTACAAGATTATGGTATTATATTTGCTTATAACTAAAGATAAATGGAATACAAATTGTGCAATAAATTGTAAAACATAAAATTAAGAATGCAACGTATTGTTGATATGTTACGAGCAAATAAATGTATACTAAGATCTTCGTGTGAAAAAGGAAGGTGACGATTTTTAGGCTCATCTGTATCCAGATAGTGAAGATCTATACGATATGAGAGATGAAAATTATGTCAGTTCTGACGACGACAACAAGACTTATTATTGCGAGGTCTGTGATAGAGATTTCCCATCCGAAGATGATCTCTCTGATCATAAACGTATACACATGGTTTGTGGGATTGATGGCTGCATATTTTCGGCGCATCCTTCACTCGTTCAAAAACATATTAGTATGCAGCATCGTTCTGGTTTGTACCAAAAACTGAAGAATTTATCGACACCAGAAGATATTGAAAAATGGATAAAAGAACGGAAAAAGTAAGTTCAATAAATATCAAAATGTAAATGCATTAGTAAGCACAAGTAACAAAAATTTGTTTTTTCTGAATAAAAAAAAACAGGAAGTATCCCACTGAAGACAACATAAAATTACGTAAGGCAGAAGAGCTAGAAAAAGTACAAAGGGGAGAAATAATCAAGCAGAATTATAATATACGATCGAAAACAAATAAAACGACGAACGTACGTGAGAAAAAACGCAAGCCTCGCAAACGGCACACACGCGAAACCAACAGCAATTGTATCCGTATAGAAGAAACATATAGAGGTTTACGCCCATTTGCTGGAATAAGTAAGTTATGGGAATACATTTGTTATGAATATAATTTGCTTTACAATGTTAGCACACAGAAAAAATTGAGATCTTTCAAATGTATTAAATTTATTGATATTTTGATTCTATTTTTTCTATTTTTCTGTTAAATCAATTATGTAATTTATAAAATTTAGCTTATATAAATTATAATCTAATCAGTTTATATTAAGAGGATCCTAAAGTGACAGAATTATCGATATTACAGATTAAAAAGAATTCCGAATTGGCTGTACAGATTCTATAAAATTCTTTTTAAAATTCTTTTTAAAATACAATTAAAATACACACAAAAACGATGCTAAATGAACGATTTGACGCGAGAAAATCAAAGAAAGTTAAAAAAATTGCAAGGATACTAAATATAATTTAATTTTTTTTCGATTTTCTCGTTAAATCAATCGTCTCACAGCTTTTTTGTGCGTATTTTAATTGTGTAAAGAAGTTTTATAATTTGTACAATCAAATCGTAATACTTTTTAACCTGTCATGTCGATATATTAGGTATAGTAAAAAGAAATCCATTATTTTTCCAATAGATGGCTTTAGTAATTTGTATCACGCGTAGACGAGATACAATTTGGAAAAATAATGGATTTCTTTTACTATATAATTTTAATCTTTTTACTATATAATTCTGTTACTTCTCCCCTTTATGATTTAAAATTTTATTCTATATTATACACAAAATATAGATGATAAAAGGATAATTAGATAAAACTGATTCTTTTCTATAGCTGATTTGCAAGAAGAAACTGATGCGGTTTACTTAGATGAACAAGTGGAACAAACAAATTTCTGTGGAAAAGATATTGATAATATTTCGGACGAGGATGATGTATCGCATGCATCTACGACACCAGAATATGTATCGCAAATAGCAGCAGAGCCCACTAATTTATCAACTGTAACCAGTTCGCTTATACTACCTAGTTTAGTAGCAGATTATGAAAGTGAAGATAGTGGTAAGTAAATGTGCAAATCTTAATATTTATTAATAATCGAATATGCATATATTAGCCTTTTATCATCTATATTTTTTTAATATAAGAATGTCTTGTGAAATTTATATAATAATTATTAAAAGTTAATTTATCAGTGTAAATATTCTTTCGTACAAAGCAATTTAAGGTATCAATTTTGTCTTTAGATGATGGTCCAGAAGAAGTATCGATAAAGAAAAGAAAAACGGAAGAGAATCTGCAGGATGAGATTACAGAAAATACAATTCATGAAGAAAATTCTATGCAAGTTTGTGAAAAGATTTCTAATGCACAATCTTGTACCAATGCGGATGATGAATCAAATAATAAATTTCAAAATACAGTCGTTACAGATCAAAATAAGCAAAGCCGCGAACCAAACAGAGTAATTAGTAATAAAAATGAGAAATTTTTTCTACGTAGATATCATAATCAATTGTTAGAAAAATTGCTTTCGCGTTCTATACAACATGAAAGAAATTTAATTTGCCAGTGTGTGAAATATATTATAGAAAATAATTTCTTTGATATAAAGTGATCTAAAATACGAACGATTATGTAAAAAAATCTAGAAACAATTTTATATGTATATAGACTTCAATTTTTTTAGCTATTAGTACATTTGATACAAAATGTTATGAATATTTATAAAGAAAGTACCTGTGATGTTTATTAAACCTATATTCGTATATCATATTATATTTTTCTAATAATTATGTAACAAATTTGTTATGAATCAAAAAACTTGTGGAATTATTTTTATAAACTAGTCAATCATTTTATTTATTTATTTATTTATTTGTTATACATGTTATACATAAAATTATGTATGTTTTTTTTTCTTCTTTGTATGTTTTTTGTCAGATTCTTGAATGCTATCATCTACTGAAGCTCTTTTTTCACCAGTCTTTATAGAGATAAGATGTTTACTATGCTTGCCCGATAACGCACTAGTCCATTCCGCTTCCGATCCTTTGATAGCATACTGCTCCAAATTTTCTTTCTTCAGTTTTTCTAATTCTGCTTTTTGTTTAATTTTTAATTCCTATAATAGAGATGTTATTTTTATATACATAAGTGGGAATTTAAAGAATAAATTATGTAAAATGCAAACCTTAGCTGCGTTTTCTAATTCCTTGCGTAAATTTTGACCACCTAAAGGATCCAATTTTATTTCTTCATTAGTCGATTCTTTGGGCAACATAGTACTCTCGATATATTTTTCCGCGACTCTGTTGAAATATTGGATCGATTTACGTATTATACGATTGAATAGACCGAGCAATTGTGAAGATGGGAGATTCAATTCCTCTGCCAATTTATCGACAGTTTTATGTTGTAAGCCCAAGCCAAGTAGAATAGCCTAAAAATTATTGTGTGTTATATAGAAAGAACAGGATTTTAGTATGAATTAAAACACTTAATATGAAATAAAAATATAAATTTGGAATATATCCTACCGATTGCACTGCTGAGAAATGAGTGTCTCCCATCATATTTAAGAAATATAGACGTGCTAAAGATGGCACCAAATCCATAATCAAATGATAATCTGCCATATTGTTACTGTACATTTGTAAGCGTTTCAAATCGTATGATGTAAAGTAAACGTTCATTGTTTCCTTACTCAATGCTGAAACAGATATTTAGAGTTTAATTTAGATTCATAAACATGTTAATTAAGATCTTCATTAAATTTAATTTCGCAGAGTATACGAGTAGAGAAATTAGTCATATATGTATATATATATATATATATATAAACACACGTCGAAACGATATGCATTAGTTTAGAAGAGGTTGATTAGCGTACGAAGTAAATAATAATAAATTTATTTACTTGTAATAGTAATAGTAATAATTGTATTGTATATAGTAATAGTAATAATTACGTATAATAAATTAATAACAAATAATAATACACTTACTGACAGATTCCAGTGATATTGTTTTGTTAATTAATATGCTTAATGCAAGTGACGCTGTATAAGTATTGAATGAATAGGAGAGCAGACTTAGGAATCGCCGACGAAAATCGCTCCAGTAAGCTTGCAGCCACTTATCATTATTTTGTTCCACATTGATTTTACAAAGCATTATGCAAGAATGTTCTCCCGTTATATCATTCGCCGTTTGTCTGAAAAATCATATAAATTTGAGATTAGTTGACCTTGTATTTTACTTGTATACATTGGTACACACCTTAAATACACAGGTATGAAATTGGATCGCTTCCAAAATTTCAATAAATGTTCGGTAATTCCGAAAGACACTCCAATGTAATCCAGATGTTCTGGATGTCTTTCGCTCAATTTCAACAGAAGCGGTGGCAACGAACTGCGCGGTTCTGCAAGCAATTGCAAAGAAAACATTACTATATTATAAATCGTGTTTTAAAACACTAATTTTTGAAAGGAATTCTATTAAAAACTTATTAAGAAATTCTGTTTAAATAGAAAATAGAAAATGTCTGTAGATAAACGGATATTACCGATAGTTTCTTGTAATAAATCAACTGCTTCATCGGGAACATTTTTTATTTCTGTCATTGACTCTTCTATAACACTTTCATTGATATTAGGCATTTTCATCTCGTAATATTGCTTCAACAGCTGCAATGCACGATTACCGTAGCCCATCTGCAATTTATTATTCTTTTAGCAAATTCATATAATTTTAAGTCGAAAAGTTTCGACAAGTTATAAATAAAAAATATGTACTCCTTGATAATCAGGATGTGTAGCAATCCTAACAATGCGCGCGCCAGACAATATTGGAAAATCTTCATCTTGATATTGCTGAGCGATCGTCCAAGGTATTAAGTCGCCCGCTGCTCTACGACCTCGTGAGAGACCATCGTTTATGCTAGTTTTGCTAACTTGGCCTTCTAAGCAAATCTATATTAGAATGTAAAAAATATATCTCTTTGTATAGAATAAATTTATTATAAAATAAAAGTAATTCAGAAGATATAATTTAAAAAAAAAATTAATTTTGTTACATTTAATGTTTATTTTAATAAAATATAAAATGTCTGAATGTCAGAAATTTATTTTAATTGAGATAGTTAGATTTGGATTGCATAGAATTATAATTACTTGAAGAACCACTAATATTTCAGGTAAAGTCTTTTTGTTGGAATCTACAGGTCCCAAGAGACAGAATAGATGATGCGCAGGTGCGTCAGACATCATTTGCAAATCATTAGGGGTATTCTAAAATATATTAATAATTAATTAGGTTAATATTAATAAAGTACAATTTCATTAAAAAATATTTTTTTATGGAATACATACTTTATAATGTGATGCAACATACAAAGAGACTAATCTCTGCAGAAACAGTTCAGAAGCCTTGTGATAAGAGAATAATGTATCTCTGAAAAAAATATTAGAGAGAAGTATGTATTATTTTTTAATTTATAAGCATTTTAAAAAATTGCTTATATCAATATAAAAAAAATACCTGTTTATATAATACAATTGACATATATCGGGAGGAGGACATCCAGAAAGAATGGGGGCATGCATTGTAACATTCAGGCAAAGTAAATCGCACAGCCATTGCTCTACAGCATCACCCGGCTTGTAACGTATTGATTCGTCGAGAGTAAGTTCATGCAATTGTCTTCCGATAAGAGTTTTCTCATTTTGCTCCTTTTCATTTTTCCCATTGTGGCTATTTGACCCAGCAGTTTGCGTTCTCAATTGTTGTAGCAATTTGAGTGATAAAGACCGACCTGTACCTTCATATCTATAAATATTAATAAATGAGAATTAATAATCTATTTATACTCTAGGAAAGTTTGAGTACTTTACCCATTTATAGTTGACGCGAGAAATATCAGATAAGGTCCAAGCATCGCTTTGACATAGGGTAACGGAATTGCTGCTGCCTCATCGATCACAAGTAACTCTGCTTGATTTAACCTGTGAGTATCTGTTGGATGTATATACTGTACAAAAAACGAAATAATGTTAATTTGTAATATTGTGAAAAAGTCTAAATATCCTGTTACAAATCAAAATAAATTGTATAGATATATTTTTAAAATATTTATATATAAAAATTTAATTTTTTTTTTACATAGAATTACACACTTGAATTGTTTGGCGATGATCTCGGAATACATTTACGCGGACAGTGGCCTTGTTAAATTCTGGATTTGTGGATTGCACTAAACCATAGTCGAGATGTT